GTTTAATACCATCTTTAAGTCTCAGAATTAGATCTGATGCATTCTCGCTAGTGGAGAAAAATCCGCCATTTTCAGGGTCCCAGAAAAGCTCAATCTGCTTCTTTTGTAGCCTATCTGCCCACTGCAGATAGCTTACATCGAAGGTTGTCTCGTACCTAACCCAGAAAAAGCGTTAGGAAAGTGTTCCACACATAAACCATCAAAAGGCGCTCTGGCACGTACATATGCAACAATCCGGAAATCAAAAACGCATAATCATCCGCGAATCCTGGTGTTTCTCCCGGGCCTTCTCTGTAAACTCTTTTCAGGATCCCAGTCTTCTCATCATAGAGGTTTTTCCTGATGAATGCAACTGTCTCTTCAGCATTCTTAAGACAAGTCTTAGCCCGTGCCGGGTCGACTTCAGCCAAAGTAGCAGCCGCCTTGGCAAGGCCAACAATTGTCAGTCCGTTCCAGCTTGTGATGATCTTGTCATCTAGATTAGGTCTTGGCCTTTCTTTCAAACGGTGTTCCAATAGCCTCTTGCGGGAGGTACTAATTATACCAGTTATCTTCTCAGGACCCATCCCGTACATCTGACTGAGCCTTTCCACGTTCGAAACAACGGACAAAACGTTTTGGGCAATGAACTCATCATGTGGATCTTGCTCAGGGTCAACGTTTCCATCACGATGGACGTTCCAGTACTTGGCGCATATGGAAGCCTCTTGCTCTCCCAGGATCATATCGAACTCTTTCCTTGTCCAGACGTAGAATGCTCCCTCTAACCCCAGCTATTAGAAACTTGCGTAGGTTACTTCTCGAGGGGAAATGCTAACCTCTCTTCTCTGTATCTGATTTTCTATAAAGGGAGTCCGCATCCTCCGAAGAGAAGAAGCCTCCCCCGGGATTCTTCAAGGCGTCTAAACAGATGTAATCCGTAATATCCTTGGCAGCATCAAGTAGCTTTTCAGAACTAGTTACCAACCAGGCATCAAGATAAATACTCAGAAGCTGTGCTTGATCATAAAGCATCTTCTCAAAGTGGGGCAAACTCCAATTCTCAGTCACAGAATATCTGGAGAACCCATGACCGATATGATCGTGGATACCCCCGCTCGCCATTTTCTTTACAGTGTCAATATATATACTTGCCAATCATAGTAGGACGTAAAACAAACCTCAAGAGTTGCTATCACCATCGACTTTGCATTGCGACACTCCATTTCACCAACGATGTCTTGCACTGTAGCTGGGAATGTACCCAGTCGTAGAAGAAATGCTAGGTTGACGGGTGTAGGGAACTTGGGAGCGCTCCCGAACCCGCCATTTACTGGGTCATAGCGGGCCATAAAGTGTTGATAAGACTCTTCCAGCAAGTCCAATTCAAGACCCTCGCCCTCGCCACCTTTCAGACCTTCGTCTGTGAAGTCTTTCAATTGCTTCATGATGTCACTTGCAGACATTAGGCACTTCTGCTGCTGTTCTTTCCAAACCTTCACGATTTTCTCCAGCACCTCTAGGAAGCCAATTTGTTCCTTTACTGCGCCCCCAGCGTGTGGACCTGGCCAGTATGTTCCGCCGAAGACGGGCTGTAGATCTGGGGTGAGAAAGACATTGAGTGGCCACCCGCTACAAAGAAATTAGTATCGTACGCTAGGAGTATATACTCAGGCACAAAAAGATATAATACTAACCCAGAGCCTGTGGTAGCTTGTACCTGTTTCCAAAGTTAGCAGCAATCCTGTAACTTCTATGACCGGAATGTCACATACAAAGTTCATGTAGATACGATCAATATCTGGTCTCTCTTCTCTGCATATTCGGTCAGATATTATTCACCATTCATTTTTGGAACAATGAGCTTTTACCGGTCAATCTTAATCGGGATAAAATGCTCGTTAAGGACACGGGCGACCTCTTCGTTCTCGAAGCTTTCACGTTCCATAACCTAGTTCAGAAAGGTTACTTTATAGGTTCTAAAAAAAATTATTTGATTTATTATAATGGCTTTTGCTTACATGGCACCCTGATGTTTGTAAAGTGTTCATTTCTTGTCAGCTTGTCTCTTCTTTCTTCTTGGAACCATGCTTTCTTTCTGGTCGTATGGCTTTTTGTTGCTCTTCCGTATCTGATACTCACAGTGACAAGCTGCATACCCAATACTGACAAACACAATTCTGTTGTGTTTTTTCGCGAGGGCCAGCGTTTCTTCTGTCCATAGCTGCCAGTGAACCGGATTGTTCGCATGACCACGGACCTACTCCCATTAGCTTCTTGCATTAGGCAAAGCTAGACGCGTGAAGGGGTTCAAAAGTTACATAGGGACTACGACTCTCCGCGAGCTGGTTCAACTTGAGCACAAATCTATCCTTGTCGACCGGTGACGAATGCTGATCCACTGCCGCCGCTGCTGCTGCTGCTGCACCCTTTGCTCCAGCTCCTCCTTGGCCATTAGCGCTCGAAATGGGGGTTGGGAGAGCTACGGCCTTTGTTTTGCCTGTTGACGCCATTTTGGGGGACCCAAATGGATGGGGGGTGGAAATAGATGAGGTTGTTAAGAAAATACAAAAGGAAAAATTCAAAAAAGGATGTTCAAGTTGCGTGGGTGGTGGTGGCGATAAGGAAAGGATAAGCTCCTTCCTGCCCGCACTTTTAGCGTGTCTGGTAGCGAGATCCCAGTAGGAAAATACCCCGCCAGAGATGTGGTCAGGGGTGGTTTGGGAGGGGGGCGGAGGTTTAATATGGACTTTGTCAAACGAGATGAAGTATGAAGCTTTATTTTTTGACAGGGGAGCAGAAGCAATGCGAAGGCAGAGAAGACGTGATGGTTCTAGAAGAAAATGTGAGGCTGAATTTTTTTTTTTTAACTCTACTTCAGGGCTTTGCTAAGCGCAGTGCAGCTTGTTGGCCAGGTATCGAAGGTTTCGAAACAGTCTGCCAGATTGCTAGCTGCACATGAAAGACGCCAGGCTGTGTGGTCTTGCATAATCAACACACACATCGGACGAGTGTAACCTTTCATAACGCAGGTGCTCTACATAAGACACCTCATTATCATAACCCGGTACGATTTTAAACATCTGCAAAGCTGTTTATATTGATTTAAAGCTTAGGCATTGGAGTGGGGAAACCGCCTCTCCGTGTTCCTTTGATACCTTCAAAAATTCGAAACCATACGTCATAGATCACCGCAGTGCTGTTTAGGCTCGAAACCTTACTATCGCGCACTTTTAACAATGCTCCTTAAGTTACTTGAGCTTGAGGCTATGATCAGTCGAAATTTGAACCCGCTATCGAGTACCAGCTGTAAACACGAGAAACCGTTGCATGATATCTTCCCCAGCTAGTGAAACCACAACCAATAGGCCTAATTGAAAGCATTGGAGAAGTTCTAGATAACAAAGGCTAAGCTCATATCCATTCGCTCTTACTCCCGTCAACGCTCTCCCGTTCGCTCCCATTATCGCAAGTCCCGTAATCTATGCCATTTCGCTTGCATGAGAATACGGCTAGCAGCTTGCTGCTCTAGGTACGAGCCCACTAGTAGATAAACCATTATCGCTATCGATGCAGATCTTCCGTAGTCTTATTCCAATCTCAGCCCTAACCCGGAAAGCCCCCTCTAGATACTGCATCCCGCCAATGGTCCCTACATGTATCTACATACTCTACAGTATCAGAAATGGGGGTAAAAACTGATACCGCATCAGTACGGCATTGTGAGAATATGCCGCTTTATCTCCGTATCTTGACGAAGTATACGGTAGTGTTACCGCAATGGTACGGCATTGCCAAAGACCGCGGTAGTCTTCTGTCACTGTACTCTACACGCACGTTGATAGGCCCCTCCCCCTACCTCCGGTGTCTGTGAATCCTCTTTCATCCTACGAATTCCCCAGAGTGCCTCAAAGACCTCCTCCGAATACGACCCCACGCTTACTCTCAACACCTCAATTCTACCTCATAATTGCTAACCCTCTATAGCTGCCGGGGTGATACCACATCCCGAGTGATCCCCCATGCTCCACACCGGGCAACAACCACTCCGCACTGCTCTAACCAATCCGATTCGTCACTCTACATGCAACACCCCAGCAGGGCCATCACTGACGAGGTTTATCCATCCGGAATAGGGAGCTCAATTGCAATAATTATGTATCTACAAATCCGATGTTCCGCTCCAGTAAAGGACATTATTTGGAACACGTGCGGCTACTGCATCAAGCCGGCAAAGGCATTAAGACTCGGTTTATAAGTTTGTGGAGGTGCAGTCTCGGACCTCGGTTCCCCCCGGTCTCTGGCAGTAGCGGTAGCGGCCTGGCCTCCCCACGACGATCACCAAAGTGGAGTAAACGGGAGAGGCGCATTGAAACACGCTGCCCCAGATCCAGAGATACCTACTGTATGTTTGTTATTTTCCCGGATAGAAGATAAACCAATAGTTATGATACGAAACTAGAGTATAGTAACTACCAAAACACCACAAGTGTATATGGGTATGGATCTAGCAAAAGGTAGCACCTGTGTAGCAACGCAATGAGGCATCACAAGTTCGCTACCGCACTGTACAGCCTCTAATTGATGGGGACAAATGATTGAAAAATCAATTCTTGGCCCTCACCAAGGGTTCTCTGAGCTTTAGGAAGATTTGGAGTTTATCCGTTGTGTGGTTCTAGTTCAGAATAAGGATTTGGCTAGCTGTGCGGACGGTTTTGCTATATCGACACCCATATATGATATGCATCAAGATATATATAACCTAAAAAACAAAAAGATTCTAGCTATATATCGCGCCGAGAGATCGCCAATGAGAAAATACAAAAAAATAAGCCAATTGCGGGAAGACATAAATACTGTTACAAATCACTTTTTTGGCCCCCTTTGTTTGCTCGGGTCATGCATTCTCACTCGATAGACACCGCTGATGGTGTTGTTGGTGCTTACCCTTGCCCTTGCCCTTGCCCTTTATCACCATAAGGGGAGAGGGAGGTGTCTATCTGGGAACCTCCGGTCGGGCTCTATTTGGCCTTGAGCTTAAGCTGTGCCCGCCTGTTTGCCAGCGCGGTCTGGGTGGCCATAAACAGCGCATCCTTAAACGCGAACAAAAACGCCGCCGTGAGCACGCTCTGCACCAACTTCGGCCCAATCCCTACACCACCACAGTCAGTCAGCACATCCCCCCAACCACCCCTCCCAGGAAAGACTCACCATTATACAACCCCGTCCACCCCTCCTCCTTCACAATGCTCCTAATCCCGCCCAACAGCCCCCCCGCCTTCTTCTCGCCCTTCGCCGCAACATGCATCCTGCTCTTAACCGTGATATACGGATACGTCAGCGCCGTCGCCACCAGCTTCCCGAGCGCCCCCAGCACAAACGCGTCCTGCGGCGTCACGCTCCGCTTGCGCCGCCGCTCAAGCACGTTCTTGAGCTGCTCGTAGATGGTGTACTGCAGGATGGGGTTCATGACGAGCACCAGCGCCGGCAGCACGCCCTTGAAGAAGGCGCGGATGCCGCCCTCGCTGTACAGGTCCTTGATTGTGCCGAGCGTGCTCGGCGCCTTTGCGGGCGCGCTCACGGCGCCCGTCGGGTCTTGGAGCGTGGGGAGGGTGCTGGTGGTGGAGACGGTGCTGCTGGTGGAGCCGGTGCTGGGGGAGCGCTTGCGTGCCGTCATGCGCGTGTTGACGACCCAGATGGGGTTTGTGAGGAGGACGGTGGCGGAGCCGGCGAGCGCGCCGGCCATCATGGATTCGAGGGTGGAGAGCTTGTTGCGGCGGGGGGATTTAGACGCTAGCGCGGCCTTCTCGAAGGCCGAGCGTGACCATTCGTACCCTGTGGATTGTTAGTGGGTGGGGGGAGGAGAGGAAATGGGGGGGGGGGGGGGAGGGGGAAAGACAGTAGTAGTAGACAAAGTTTGTGACGGAGATGCCGAAGACGGCGCTGTCGAGGCCGGCATAGAGGCCCGAGATGCCTTCGCGCTGGATGATGCGGCGGACGGCGTCGGGGACGGAGGACTGGGCGCGCTTGGACTCGACTTGGGAGCGGGTGGAGAGGGTGATTAGTGGGTAGGTGAGGACCATGGAGAGGACTCCACCACCTGTTTGGCCGTCAGTATTCTGGCATTGTAGTGGGAGAGAGCTAGAGAGGCTGGGCAGAGGAGGGGGATGTACCAGCGCCTGCGACGGCGTGAAGAACCTAGAGAGAAAGAGAGGCATGTCAGCATGCGTTTTGCGGGGGAGGGGGGGGCCTAGTAGTTTGACAGCGGGTGGGGGTGCATACATTATCGTTTGTGGACATTGCGGACTACACTGTGTATCAAAAAGCAGCACAATAACGAGAGCAGCAGTACGAGCTACTACAGGACGGTGGTGGAGGTAGTGGAAGTGTTATGTAGGACCTGAGGCGGAGAGGGACGCCAGCACACCGTACATGTAATAAAGAGAGAGAGAGAGAGAGAGAAAGAGAGAGATGCTCGGTTCTTCGGGCGTGGATGCTGTGGGCTGGATGCTGTGGGCTGCGATCCTACACTTCCCCGTGCCTGTGCTGCCTGTGCTGCCTGTGCGTGCTGCTGTCCGTCGTCTTTCTGTAGCTTGTGATCGTGTTGAGCGCCGAGTTGCGCTAGGCCGGGGCGGGACAGCCGAGGTTGCGGGGAGGAGACGTTGCTGTGTGGGGTTTGTGTGTGCATCTGCACGAGGAGCTTTGGGGATAGCTGAGCTCTGCGTCGGAGGCTCTCTCTGCAACAACGACGCTCGTCTGTGGAGGTACATGACTTTGACCCTCTCTCAATTGATCAAGCTGAGGGCTACTCTAAAGTACATGCAGTCTAGAGCAGAGTGCAGTGGTCTGGATTACTCAAAAGGCCCCAAAGTACATACATACATGTACTCACTGCATCTGTCCAGATTGGACCGCACATCAAAAACCGGGGTTTCCAACAACACACAGGACAGGCATAGGGAAGGGCTCTATGCAAACAGAAACCATTGGAGAAATCGGTAATGGAAAACGGGTCTTCGGCTTAGTTATATTATTAAAGACCCATAATTTGGTAGTCTACAGCGTGCACATTGTGCCTGCGTTTGGAATGCTTACACAGACTTAAAGCTCAGAAGATCAATGTCAACTACATGTAACTGATCATGATCTGACTCGAGACCAGGGTTAGGGGATGAATGTTGCCCTGCTCACAGAGTCTGACTCGGGACTAGGACTAGGGTTAGGGATAATTCTATCTCCAGCAGCTTTTCACTTTGTGTGTCTTGAGTTGAATAAGCTCCGGTGTATATTCTGACATCTACCAAAGGCTTTGCAGCTAGTATGACGTACAATACCGTAGATACGTAATATCTATTCTCCTAGAAGCTGAAATAGTCTGTCGGTGGGACTTTCAATTGATGTGCACTTTGTCTAAAAATGCATACGACCCTGCAAGCTGGTGTATACGCCAACTTTTCAGCACACAACCCCTGCACACTTGTAAGTACTCACCCTTTTCACGGTCGGAGCGAAGACTTGTCTGCGATAAAAGTGGGCGGGCCGCGCCCTTTATATACACACACACCCGTTCCCTCCCCCCCCCAACCTCCTGGCACCCACCCAACGCTCCCAGCAAAGACACCCGATACCTACATGTATTGTAGTTACATGTGCATACAAGTAGAGAGGATTTCATCCTCTTGAGTTAAGTTCTCCATCTTTAACAAGAGAAAAAGAGCCAGACGGGCGAGGAGTGCAAACTTTTGCCTACCATAATAGCTGGAGCCACAAAGACGGAATCTCGAAACGGAGGTGAAACAAGCTTCTTTAACGCGTGCCAAGCAGAAGACAACGAGCCTTAGTAATCCAGGATCTGGATGTCGATGATTAGATTAGCAGGCGCCGGCGTCGGATCAGTTGCCGAGCGGCCTTTTTCTAGGGACCAGTCAGCCACTGCGGCTCAAAGTGCTCCATGGACGGGGGGGGCGTTGGGCGACATGTGGTGTGGTGTGTCGTCGGCGCGGCGGGACTGTTCCATATTGCGTGCACGACCAGCAGCAGCTGGGCCAAGCAGAGTAAGGTAAGGAAGAACAACAGTAAGAACTACATGTAGCTAGGTAAGCTCGATCGGGCTTCTAGACATTTCGCCCTTCTCGGATCAGCCCTTCTGCAACACTGCATACCTGGCCTCTCAAACACCTCACGCAGATACATACTTAAACATCAGTCAGTGCCTTCCTTACTGACAGCAGCTGGTCTGGTATCGTGAGATTCTTTCGTTGGGGACATTGTTTAGCTCTCTCTCCACTGTTTCCCCCTTTAAAGTTTTTATTAGCCATGGCACAGCCTGCGCCGACAGCTGCCAGGTCTCCTGCGTATGCAAAGAGCATCCTCAAAGTGCTGTTCATATCTCTACTGTTCGACTTGGTAGGTCCCGTACATCGCATATATAGCTGCCGAGCCCTGGCAATATACGAATGAACCCAGTGTTAACAACAGCTCTAATAGCTATCATTCACCCTCATCCTCCCGCTATTCCCGCGCCTACTGGATTTCTACAAGGCCCAGCCCAACAATGTCGTCCTAGAATCGATCTTCAACACCCTCAACGCCTTCAAGGCGTCCTTCCACCGCCCAATCTCTTCGCGCTTCGACGTTGTTCTCCTCGGTGGAGCTCTGGGCTCTCTATTCTCGTTCCTCCAGGCTGTGTCCAGCCCAATCATTGGCTCCCTGAGTGACCGCTATGGGTATGTCTAATATAGCTCCTCACCGCAATTGTAACCGCGGCCATTAACAGCCCCCCCAAAGGCGCCGAACAGCTCTCCTCTACTCCATGATTGGCAACATCCTCTCCGTCCTCCTCTGGGTCGTCGCCACCGACTTCCCCACCTTCCTCGCCTCCCGCATCGTCGGCGGCCTCTCGGAGGGCAACGTCCAGCTCGCAATCGCAATCGCAACCGACGTCTCGACCGCCGAGACCCGTGGCGCTACCCTCGCGCTTGTCGGCGTCGCATTCAGCATCGCATTCACGTTTGGGCCCATGATGGGGGCGTATCTGGCGAGCAAGACACTGACGCTCAAGATCTCTGAGAAGAACCCGTTCGTGACTGCGGCGCTGTTCTCGCTGGCATTGTTGGTGGTGGAGACGGCGTTCCTGTACTGGAAGCTGCCGGAGACGCGGCCGTTGCGGGAGGCGGCGGAGAAGGAGGAGAAGAAGAAGACGGTGGCGGAGGAGAGGACGGCGGCGGATAAGGCGAGGAGTGATGCGTCGGGGATCACGCTCTTGAATGCGACGCATCTCCTCTTTCTGCTCATCTTTAGTGGGATGGAGTTCTCGCTGCCGTTTATGACTTTTGACTTGTTTAACTACACCTCCACAGACTCGGGGAAGCTGTTGGGCTTCATTGGGCTGCTGGCATCGGTCCTGCAGGGCTCGTTTGTGCGCCGCGCGAAGCCGGCGCTGGTTGTGAAGACTGGGTTGGCGAGTGCGGCGATCAGTTTCTTCCTGCTGAGCCGTGTGAATAGCCAGAGGGAGCTATATGTAGCGGCCGCATTCCTGGCAGTAACGAGCGCAAGTGTTGTGACTGGCTTGACCGCGTTGGTTAGCTTGAAGATTGGCGAGCAGGAGAGAGGAAGAGTGTTGGGCGGGTTCAGGTCTGCTGGTACGTATATCCAACACCCCACAAAGCATCCGCCTGGCAATGATTGCCATCCACTGTCGGCGGTGCCGTTGTTTCGTTTCCTCGCGGCTGGGCTAGGCTAGCTAGCTAGTCCCGGCGGAGTTGAAACTCGGGGACCCGCAGATCATTTCTAGAGGGCTAACGAGATGCAACTAAAAATTTTAGGCCAGATTGGACGAGCTACTGGACCGCTACTTTTCTGTAAGTCTTTTTTTTTCTTTCTTCTATTTTTATCCCCTCTCCACGCCGCCGTTTTGAAAAGAAAGGCTAGAAAAAAAAAAAAAAAACTACTCGGAGGAGCTGGGTGAGATAGTGAAACTTGGGATTTGGAGCTAAGTTGTTGGGCATGCAGGTACCCTCTACTGGTGGGCAGGACGAGAAACTGCCTATGTCGTTGGTGGGACGGGAATGGTGGGTGTCGCGACACTTGTGTGGAGGGGTTTGGGGAAATGATTGGCCGTTTGGATACCGCAAGAGCTCTTTCCCGCTCTCTGGTTTATCGTAGCATCTACATAGGTAGTGGGGTTGGTGGGTATGTAGCGTGCATTCTACATACTTACTTTACGATTACATGGAGTACCTAGAGCTAGATGTGTGTGCGGGGAGGAGAAGGAGAAGGAGGTGGAGGGTGGGGGGAAAGATATCAGATACCATATGCATGCGTAGCAGCACTGTTATTTAGTTAGTCGTTAATTCTAGACTGTTTCAAGACCTCCCGTCTGTGTCTGTGTCCATCCGGGTCCCTGGGGAAACCTGCGCATCTCGAAGCTTCCGCATCTTCCCTTCTCGAGCTCTGTTGGGCCAATTAACCCACCTTTCCACCTTCCCTCTTAATCCTTCCCGGTCACGCAAAATTAAAGAAATGGAAGTCACCGCTCTCACACTCATTCTGCGCTGCCATACCCTCATACATACATCTACATACTCTGCTTGCCGTGCTCTCACCTCCCGTGAGATCATCCATGCCGGCAGGACAAGGCAAGGCTTACTCCCCATTCTTGAGCTTGCCTGGTATGATGTTGTATATATGCACCTGCGTGGTGCAGCAAGCTATGTCCTAGGTCTATGGCTGTATTCTAGGTACTTACTCTACAGCACATAATGAAAAAAATCTACCTACATGCCTACATGTACCTGCCTGTTATCGGATATCTTGCACGGCGGGGAAGGTGCGGTACTATAAATGAATTAGAGTTGGTGGGATTGTGCGTCCATCCTATCCCATCCTGGCTATCTTATCCTGACGGACGGACCGGAGACTGTGGGTGGCAGGAGGAGGAGGAGGAGGAGGAGGAGGATGAGGAGGGGGAGGAAGAGGTCCGGGCTCGGACACATGTTTTTTTGTTTTATTTTGTTTGATGTGGTATGTGCTGTAGATTTGCAGGTAGATTGTGGTTATGGGTGAGGGAAAGAGAGTTCCCAATGCCGAGTACCGGAAGATTGCGCGGTGAGAGACGGATGGTATGGGATGGTATGGGATGGGAGTACGTATGCTCATCTCATTTACCTACACTGTGCCCTTCATACATGGCCAGCCAGGGAAAAAGAAATCTCCCTCTCTCTCTCTAGCTAACCCCCCGATTTCACCAAAATTGAGAGAGAGGGGGGGAGAGGGTGGCGGGCGGGCGGCGTGGCGATAAG